ATATATATATATATATATATATATATATATATATATATATATATATATGCACACACATGTCCCAGTCTTCTGGGAGCCAGATGGGACAGATCACATTCAGTGAAGCAGCTACATTTCACATTGTGAATTGTGATTGTCATCAGCTAGTTCAGGTTCCTGCCTCTAATCAATTTCATTCTTTCACAAACACAAGGAAAGACTAGGTCTTTAATTAAATGCAAGAGCCAAAGTAGAAATAAGCAGCTGATTGCAAAGTCAAAGTGAAACATTTGGATGAAAAGATCTCCATGCCAGAGGCACAGGCCATCAGCTTATTTATTTGTTCATAACTTTTATATATTTATAACTTCCTTCCCTGGAGTTGTAGGCATTTTTCTTTTCAATAATTGCACTACAATTTTCCCACACTTGACATTCTTTAAAAAATCCTCTGCTGAGGAAACAATGCATGAGATAAATAAATTAGTTCATTGGATCATTAAATTGCACAAACAATGCTAATATGGGCCCTTTGTCATTTCTGACAGGATTGTCATCCAGAAAAACAGAGATGAGCAGGCCTGGGCTGACCAAGAAGGGCCAGTGCCAGGGCCTCTTGGGGGCTGCATCTTTGTCTGGTTTCTGATGTGATCTGCCTAGTGTAATCTGTAAAAAAATCAGAGCTCCTCAGTGCTACCCAACCCCAACGCCAACCTGTGATGCTGTCACCCCTCAGACACAGTTTAGCACTGGGCAGGTCAGAGCAGCCTCTCCTATTTTCAAACTGGATTATCCACTTAGTAAACACACCTATAACTGCAGAGACAGGATAGTGATGTCCAGAGGTGTTGAGCACTCTGGTGAGGCCGAGGGTCTCTCCAGACCTCACAGTCCATTGCTGTGGTCCCACCGTGGCTTCCATTTCCAAAGAGAGGTCACTCTTTCTCCCTCCCACTCAGGACTAATTCAGTGAATTGTCTATCGCTTCTGTAAAAGAAAGCCCACTGGCTAGTGCAATGGCAGCTGTCCTTCTGATGTTTGGGAAAATCTTGTACCTGTTTATCTGTGCTGGGTGCTGAGCTCCTGGGAGAAGAGCACCCTTATTATTGGGGCTCACTCAGGCAGAACCAGCCAAGCTGGTTTCTCTGCTTCACCTGGCTGTCAGATAGGGGCCACCTGCTCCTTGATTGGTACAGGGGCAGATAGGTCCAAACACATTCCCTAAGACACGGGTCTTCATATCAAAGGATGTCAGGGAACTTAACCGTGTTATTCCCTGGGAACAAAAGGTGTCAGAGTGAGATACAAACTAACAGTCAAGAAGATATAAGTAAGTCTGTTCCTGTCTCCCATCCCCAGGGAGATGAAGAAGAGTGATAGCTAAGGTTTTCTAATGATCTGAAAGGATGTTGAACTTTCTTTGTTATAGATGCTGGTGACCTAGTGGATTCAGGCAGACTTGGATAGAAATCCAGATTTGTCGTTTACCAGCTCTGAGACCTTCTGGGCCTCCTAGTTAGTTAACATCTTTGCTAAAGACCTTTGAAGACTGAGTGATAAGATAAAAAGGTAGATTATTGAATCTACTTTTTAAAAGGAACTACTTGTTTTAAATAGGATAAAAATAAATTTTTTTGTCTGAATTTGTCAAATCCGTTGGGAGGTACAATATATCAACCACGTTTTCCCTTTTTTGTTTAAAATAAAAAAGTTATAGCCAATATAAGAAAAAGTATATACAATATATATAGTCAAGAAGTATATTAACAATGTCTAGTCCATTAACATTCAACAGATTCAGACAAAAACCTCCATTATATACATTAACAGTGTCTAGTCCATTAACAACTGAGGAACAAATCAGACATCTACTGAAGATACCTAAGGCAGATAACCAAGAAGTAGATGTTTGGAAATGCCTGTCAGTGTTCGTATAAGCTCCCAGGGCCTTCTTGTAAATTCTTGGGAATTCTCAGAACCCCATGACTATGAACTTCAGAGAGAGTGTTGAGGTGGGTGGTGCCCCGGCCTCAAGCAGAGCTCCCAAACGCTCGAATACTAACACAACGGTGGAAAAAGCAACCTCAACCAGGACAGCCTGTCAGAGTTTTAAAGTAGATGGCGCATACTGTATACTGAGTTTCTGTGTTCTTAAAAGGGGTTGGTTCCAAAGGTACCCTAAATCTAATTTAGATGCATTCTGACTGACTGCCAAATATCTGTTGTGGCTTTGACAATTTTTGAAAAGTACCTTTTGTCAGAGCCTTACTATATTTTGCTTTAAAGTAAGCATCCTTGAGTCAGTAGCATAGAAACATTGGTTTGTTACTTCTGGGTGAGCAGGGAAGCCAGGGTTGTTCTAAGATATGGGTTTGGTCCTCTTCACTGAAGATGTCTCACATCTTTCTTGGGACATCAGCTATCTGAGGCCACTAGCAAAGATGGTAAGCACAGGTGCATGATGTGCCTCTGGTCACATGTATTCAGGGACAGCAGCCAGGTTAGTTCATGATCAAAGGTTAGTGAGTAGAGTCCCTGTCCACCATGAGGCCAGGACAGGGACTACAGTGTGTATCAACACCACAGCAGAGTCAGGCATGGGACACTGCAGAATTCTTTCTCCATATTTCTGATGCTGTAAACTTCTCCGAATGTAATCTCCTTTACAGTCCAGTGAGGAATCAGCAGTCCTTTTTGTTATTTATTTATTTATTTATTTATTTATTTATTTATTTATTTATTTATTTATTTATTTATTATCTTACTCTATAGCCTGGCTGGCGTTGAACTCAAGATGCTCTTGTCTCTACTTCGCTAGTGCTGTGATGGCAGGTGCATGCAGCCACACCCAGCAAGACTGGCCTTTTGATCTGACTATCACCTCTGATGAGCAATACACTTCTTGATACCTTGTAGACCAACATAATGATATATATATATATATATATATATATGTCTTTCTCTTTAGTAAATATGCCCTTCTGAGATTCCATCACATGGTGAAGCAAGAGGGCAGAGGGAAAGGAGCCATGGAGAATTCCTCTGCGCAGCCGGTCCTTCCCTTCTGGCCCACAGTAGCAGAGACTGGATAGTATTACGATCTAATGCCCACTCAGAGGTCTAACTGAATTGAATTATTGGCTTCCTGCCAATCCTCAAAGATATTTCCTGGCTTTCCCATAGCAACCATCAATATAACTGATGCTTCTGGTTTCAAACAGCACACTAGATCAAAGGCATAAATTATTTTTTAAATGTGACCATTTTTTCTAGGCCATTGACGAGTGATACTCAGAGTGGTTATGTGGTTGAGTTTATCAGGAAGTCAAGCTGTAGCTGAGGTGGATGGTGGGACTATGGATTAAATTCCTTCTTAGACTGTAATTAAACAGAACACAGATCCTCGGGCTGCAGGGAATGACTCTCCTGACTATGAGATGCTGTCATCGGAGGGGCTAGGGCCTTGGGATTCTTCCACGGTTTCATATTTATTTATTTAGTGGTTCTTGGGATGGAATGAAAGACGTTTTACATTCTAGACAAATATTCTGCCTCAGAACTACATCCTTAGCCCATCTTTCTCAGTACTTTTGTAGGAAAAACAGACATCTCCAGGGGAGGGTGGCTCCCACACTTGGCTGGCTTTCTGAGAATCCTGTTGGAAAGTGGAATAGCTCAGGGTTTAAAAACCTGAGCCCTGGAGTCTAACTTGGCTCTGCTGCTGGACATCTGTGGTACCTGGTGATGGCTGTGACAATTCTAAACATCTGTCATGGCCATTGGTGTTGATTACAGATGTCCAGTTTTCTTCTCCTGGCAACCAGAAGACACAGTTCCCTGAGTCCTGTGTTAGGTGGTGTCTCCAATCTAGCTCTAGTTACAGACTCTTGAACAATTACACTCTGTGCATGTTGAATACAATGTATGTTGAATGTCTGGTGGGCATTTTCACTGGTCTTCATGGTGACAATGATCTTATTGTGTGTCCTATGTTTGTATCTAACAACATATCTGTTGCTACCAAAGCAGTTATTAGCCTCATGTCTTCGAGACAATCAGTTACCCTTGCAATGTAATGATAGTATGTCAAACTAGAGGAAATTAAGTAATAGCTTAAGTTTTTGTCTTTAAAATCATGTGACAAGGTCTTACTCAGAGAATCCATCCCAGCAGTTTAAAGATATTTCTATTGGTTACAGAACCAAACTATGTGGATGCTACTTGTTAGCCCCTCCCCTCCTCTGTTTGTTCCACACACACCCCCCCCACCAAACAAAAAGGTCCACATCCTTGTTACAAACGTTCCTGGATCCTACTCTGAACATTCCTGCCCAGGAAGTTACATTTGGCTTGTGAACTCACACCTACAAATGTGTGTCCTCCTTTAGTCCATCTCTTCCCTGTTCTGTGTCCACGAAGACGGCTGCCCACTGTGGTCTTTCTCCCAAAGGCCCTGCTCAAACTTCCCAATGATTGGGTTATGTTAACATTTTATGGTGAACCTTAGGAAACGGCCATTATCGAGGAATCAACTATGGCAGTTTGCTATGATGAAAACGTACTTTGAATAGGAGGAGAAATCTTATCACATACACATTGATGCTCATGTTAGAGCCTATCACCAACCCCAATGCAATTCTCCCTTCTTCCCTTGATGCACTAAAGGGTTGTTCCTATGGAACATGCTCTGACCTCCCCACACCTAGCAAACACTGATACTGTTTTCTGACTGGCTAGGTGGAGCTTTTCCCTAATTCCTGTTGTTAGCCCTCAGGTTATACACACCGGGATTATTTAATAATTATTAGTAATAATCATATTACTGTGCAAGAAAAAAATTAACACCTCTTTTCTTCAACCTCTTTCAGATCGAGGACATCATTACCAAGATGCAAGATGACAAGACAGGGGGTGTGCCCATCAGAACAGTTAAGAGCTTTCTCTCCAAAATCCCCAGTGTCGTCACAGGTAACCCATCCTTACGAGGTGTCAGTGACAACCAGACTATTAGAGTTGTGTGGTCTAGATGCTGATGTGGAGGTGTCTAGGGGTGAGTCAAACCTCTGTGAGGAGCTTGACTCCAAGCCCATCTTGCTCTTGGCTTTTATCGAGACCGTGCTCTTTGTCCGTCATTAAGAACCACCCTAGTGTGATGAGCCTTTCAAGTGTGTGTAGCTGCTGCCTCTGGGAGTAGATGAGCTGACAGATTAGCAGTGTAGCCTGGGGCTATAAACAAATGCAGGTGTGCTTTTAAAAATTAAGCAGGTCTCATTTTGTTTGGAGTTGTTTGTTTGCTTGTTTCTTTCGGGACGTTACATTCTTACTATGTAACTCAGGCTGGCCTTGAACTTACAGTCTTCCTGCCTCAACCTCCCAGCGCTGGGAGAACAGGTGTATACCACCATGCCTAGCTCCATTTAAGCATACTTAAAGGAAAGGGTTGTGTTTTAAGAAATTCTCATGTTCAAATTCTATAAAATGCTTTTACTAAGCTTTTTATTTACTGTGCTCAAACTCCTTTTTAAAAGGAATTTTAAAATATTGCTCTGTATTCTGTTGCTGTTTTGTGGTTCAATACAGCCAAGCTTATTTCTTTAAAAATTAATACTTTTTAAAAAAAATTTTAACTCTGTGTGTGTGTGTGTGTGTGTGTGTGTGTGTGTGTGTGTGTGCGTACACGCACACACTCCCATACACACTCGAATGGAGGTCTCCTTAGACCCCAAAGGAACCCATCAAGTCCACTGCATGTGGTTGTGAGCCTCCCAGTGTGGGTGCTGAGAATTAAACTCAGGTCCTCCACAAAAGCAGCATGAACTCTCAACTGCAAGCTGTCTTTCCAACCCCTTTTTAAATTTTTTTGATTGTGAAATTATTAGACTCATATCTATAGTTCCAAAAATAATCACAAAGTAATCGCAGAGCACCTTGCCTTGTAAATAGCACCAATCTCTTAGAGTCCCCTTATTTAGTACTAATAAATGAATTCCTCTCCCTGTTCACTCTCTATTTTGATTGAACAAGTCATTTTTCTTCATAGTTTTCTTACAGAGGTGTGTATTCCTTGCTATCCAAACAAACAAGTAAATGAATCCAGGCAAAAGTTTTAGCGTTTCTCTCATTTCCAAAATTTGGCTGTTTGATTTCTAAAATTCAGGAGCCATCAGGACTCAGTATCTGTCAAATGCCATAATGGCTAAAAACACTGGTGGTGCCAGGACTGGTATGACATGATGGAGCTGGAACTTTTTCTTGTTGCTGATAGGAGTGCAAAATGGTGCGGATGCTCTGAGAAAGACGTGGCAGTTTCCTAGAGAGGCTAACATCACTTACCCATCCTAGATATTTACCCACGAGCTGTGAAAACACATCTTCACAAAAATTCATATGCAAAGGTTTGTAGTGGCTTTATTCACAATCTCCACAGCCTAGAAACAGTCCAAACATCATTTATCGGGTAAATAGATGGACAAAGTCAAAGTCTTGTCTATGCAAATGTGACAGTAGAATAAAGCGAACCAGTACCACACACAGTGTCCTGGACTGGTCTCAGCATCATTTTCCTTGAGTACAAAAAGGCCAGACACAAAATATTGCAATGTTTTATCCCACGTACATTCACAAAATGGGAAGAAATTAATAGTTTTCAGGTTCTTAGGGACAGTTTTATAAGGTGATAGAAATACCTTGTACCCAGACTATGGGACCAGTAATACGAATCTGCATGGGTCAAACTTCATAAGCAGTATGCATGCACAAAGAATCTCTGTGGCTCCTTGTTAACTAAAAACAAGTAAACCCTCAATAACTACGAGTACCTCAACTCATTGCCCATAAAGTCACCATTTGAACTCAAATACCACCAAAGCCCAGCTGCCATGATGAAATACCATAGACAAAATGGCACATAAGCCACAGAAATTTATTTTGCGTGCCTACAAAAGTTAAAATTTGGGGATTAGGGAGCCAGGTCTGTTGAGGACCACCATTGGTTGTAGACTACCCACTTATAGTCTTATACCACATAGCATAATGAGGACACTCTGGTCTCTTTCTATAAAGGGACTAATGCCATTCATAAGGCTCCACCCTCATAAACTGTCCCTCAAAGGCTCTGTCTCTATTATCCTATTTGGGATTAGCTCTCAGCACATGTATTTCATAGAGGCACAAAAATTCATTCTTTAGTAAGTACCAAGTATATTTGGAAGCTGTATTGTGTTTGAAATTCCCCTAAACAGAGTTAAACTCATGAAATATCATGGGCTATATTCATACTTTGTCAAATTTTATTTAATAATATATTCAGAATTTCTTTGTTTTTGTGATAGGGTTTCCCCTTTGAGAGCAAGCTGACCTTGAACTTGCTATGCACTTCAGGCTTGCCTTGAACTCATAATCCTCTTGCCTCAAGTCTTCCAAGTACTGGAATTACAAGTGTGTGCCCTCATACCCGATTCAAAGTTGTTAAATCTGTTTCTATGGAGAGATTTGTCTGTTGTTTTTCTTACTTTTGTTGATGATTTAGACATCAAATTTATGCAAGTCTCCTAAGACAAACTATGGAATGCATCTCTCTGTTGATACTGAATTGTTCTCTGAAAACTAATTGCTTCCTATCTAGCCAAGTGTATAATTTTAATTACTTTTTATAGATAAAAGTTCCATTTTGTTATTTTCCCAATTTGCTTGCCCACTTGTTCATTTCATTTTTAGTTGGGTATCCACTAAGTTTTAGTTTGATTTTCTGTTGCTGTGATTAACACCATGACCAAAAAGCAACTTGGAAAGGGGAGGGTTTAGTTGGCTTAAACTTCGATGTTGTAGTCCTTCACTGAGGGAAATCAGGACAGGAACTGAAGCAGGAACCTGGAGGCAGGCGCTGAAGCAGAAGCCTTGGAAGAACCCGTTTACAGGCTTGCTCCCCATGGCTTGCATAGCTTGCTTTTTAATGGAACACAGGCTCACCTGCCCAGGGTTGCAACACACACAATGGGCTGAGTCCTCCCTCTGCAATAGCCAATCAGGGAAGTGGCCCCTAGAGGCCAGTCTGATGGAGGCATTTTCTCAGTTGAGGTGTTTTCTTGACTCTTGATTGAGTCAAGCCGACAAAAACCAACCAGCCCAGGGCATATTAAGTATACTTTGAACTTAACAATACATACGTTCATCTTACAATGAATAGTGTACTTACTTATTTTATCAGGTTCAACTTAAAATGAATAGTGTACTTACTTATTTTATCAGGATATAAGCCCTTTATAAATCAAAGAGCATCTGTTGTTTTTAAATCAAAACTGAAATACTTTAGAGATAAAGATGCCATCCTGGGAATATTGATTTAAAAAATTAGAAAGGAATTAGGGTAGGAATAGGGAAGGAGGCATATGTATGAACAAGGCAGGTAATAAAAATAAATAAAGCTTTCTAGAATTCACTACTGACATCAAATGGATCCCTAGCATTGAGTGACTTTCACAATCATATGTGAATAGATGCTTGGTCCTTCAGATAAGGCCTGCTGTAAGCAGGCTTATGGTCCATTTGTTTGCAGCCTTGCTAATGCATCCTTTCCTAAAAGCTGGAAGTATTTTGTGACCTTCTATCTTACAAATTAAATTTATCTGGAGAATTCCTTCAGGATCCATTCAGACCTTGCACCAGAAACAACTATTTGGATTAAACGTGTGGAAACTAAAGCCCCCCTTCCACCACGGTATCCTCTTGATTCTCATCTGGGTCTTCAAATGCATCATCTGCTTCATTGGATACATCAATATTAAGTGATGTATTATTTACTTATTACAATTGGTAAACATAATAAGATACTATATTATCTTATTTACTACAAGAAAATAAATGCATGTAACAAAAATAAAGATATATTGTATCATTCTAACCTACATTAGGTAAAGGAGGTCCTTTAGCCCAGTGTATAAACTTGAGGAAGTTGTAAGTTTGGGGAAGCAGATCCAGGAATAGTGTTGGCCAGGGTAAATTTGAGGCGGGAAAGGGCATCAGGCAGTCCTTTCTAGGACACAGTTTGAAATAAAGAATTGAAGATCTAGAGACATTTTCTAGAAAAAATATAGATGGAGGAGTCATGATGTCCAAGGACTCGACAGGACACTACAGCTTCCATGTGTTCACCTGTAAGGCACCCCCTACCTAGTCAGGGGATAGCCTGCTCACCCATACCTCCTGTGATTTGGGGGTTGAAGCTTCCCAATTGACATACCAAGGAAATTGTTTTCATTCCTCCCATTAGGAATGCCTGGGTTAATTCCTAGATATTCCTTGGGTAAAGACAACAAAGAAATACCTGGTGCTCCATCTGTGTCTAAATAGGTAGGGGCTGAGAAGGCCCCAAAGGATGTGTACTGAAATAAGAGATAGATATATTTGGGAAGAGAAGATAAAAGGCAAACCATTCAAATACTGGCCCATTTTTTAACAGTGAGGAATGAGGAGCTGCAAGGGTGAGAATTAGTGAATGAACATTCCCATGGGGAAAGAGATGGAAAATTGGAAAGGGAAGAACAACATCAAGGATAAAGCAGAGCCCAACATTAGATCATCACTGAGGCTCGTCCATAGGAAGCATAGAGCCATGCCAAACCAGTTCCCCACCCAGAGGTGTGGATTCTGAGCATGGTGTCCACAGAAAGGTCACTTCATGGTCATCCTAACGCTCTCCTTTCTGGATAACAGATGAGCCTCCTAAGATCTCCTTTCCTGAGTAGTAACTGGGTCACAAAGATAATTAAAGCAAGTGGCGAGACTCCTGGGTTCCCAGTTTCCAACCCCATCTCCTCCCGACCTGACCAGTGGGAGACAGACAGATCCTGGCCAGAATGCCTGCCAACTCCATGAAAGCAGCCATATCACACAGCTTTGCCCAGCTGTCACTGACAGCCATTCCAAGATAATTCTCCATCCCCAGAACGTCCTAAAGAATTTCCCAGGAA